ACAGTTATTCCGTAGTACATGCCACGAGGATCAACCTGAAATCAGAGGTACAGGATGCGCTGCTGTTTGAAGGACAGGAAATTAGTGCAAGAGAATTTTGAAAAAATAATCTGCAACTTTTTATTGTGAAATTTAATTGCTGTTGCTAATGCTTCACATTATCGGAAATAAAAGTGACATTTTTAGGAGTAAAAAGGTATGGAGTAAGTTTGTACACATCTTTCAAGATATACAAAAAACGTGGTACGGATTCAAACTCATTCTGTTGACGGACAGAATGCAATTATTAAATTTTGTTTGCTATTTCTGATAGAATTTTTGAGTAGATAAAGTTGAACTCCAAGATAAATAATAGAAGAAAACCACGATATGCGGAAAAACTCGAAGTGGCGATTATGCTATTGATTATAGATATAGAATGGGAAGAGGGATGAACAATTAAGAAAACAATATCCCACCGATCTCAAACTTCTCATGCCACACACGCCGAACCTTAGATCGAAATGTGGCTTTTTCGTCCGCTCTTTAGCAAAATCGTCTTTGTAACACTCCTCTATGTCGGCTCTTCCTTTGGCATAAATTCGGCCTTAAATGCTCATCATTGATTCAACGAGAGCTTTAATTATAAAGTAAGACAAACCTGCAAAAGGTTTTCGAGTCTTTACCCATACTCGAATCTCTTCATCAAGACATTCGATATCGGGCTCACCGACGATATCGTTGTCGATGCTTATAGCTTGGATGGAGGAGGTCTAAACTTATATGGATTAAACTTGATGAAATAAATCTCGGACTTGAAGACAAAATAACACTCGTCTTTATACTAGTGCAGAAGATGGACTTACGACTATTACGATGAATGCTAGCCGATGGCATAGCGTAATCATCTCCGTTTTATGTGAAAAGGATTGGCGAACAGCCAAGCTGCTCGTGATGACTGGAGAGTGACTGCAGAAGTTCTGCAAAGATAGCAGATGCCCAAAAATCCGTATAAAAGGCTTTTGTTTATAAAGTGCTAGTAACTTTTCCAAGAATAACGGATGTCGATCACGAATGCTTCTAAGAATTCCATTTATCGGCGAAGTGAATTTTCACTTCTTACAGATTATCGGGCAAAATAGGGACTTTCTTGCAACAAATGAGCAAACAATAATCGAGAATATATGCGAAAAACCGATGAGTATACGTTTTGACGCTAATGCAAAAAAATGAAGTTATCAAATAAAATTAGTTCAAAAAGGGAAAGACAGCAAGCGAATAGCCTCAAACCAGTTTGAAACATAAATGCAATTGCTGCTATCAAATGAAACTAACACAGTCTAAGAGGAGTCCTTTCTGTAGAAAAAAAGGTTATTTAGAAATTCCAAACGATCTGGACGAACCGATAATGAAATTTCACAGTCGAAAATAATTGATTTAAAAATGCTTTGTGATCTATGTATTAATGCGAAATTTGAGAAAACTGCAGAAAATGATATACAGACAAGTAATTATAACTGAAGTTCCACAGACATACTAATCTCAAGATTGCCAAAACAGCTATTTTGCTTCAACTTAGGAAAAAGGAAAGGGAATTATATGGCGTATGACGTTTGATCACATCGAGGCTGGGGTGAAAAGAATATGAAATTCCTACAAGTCTACAACATCTAAAGAGAAGATAGCTTTCTTACAGAAACTCCCATGACTGCACCTTCAATTATATGAATTCAGAAAGGACCCCGTTGGCAACATTTGCATAATCGTGATAAAAGCCGCAATACAAAACAGTTATAATTTTCTCTAAAACTTTATAAGAGAGTCATAGTGCAGCAGCAATTTTATGTGCTAGTAACTTGTATTTTTCATCACAAAAAAAGTGATAACTTCAAAATTTACTTATATTACATCATTCAAGGTGTTTCGATGAATCACTACTGATCATCACCAACGGTTCTTGCTAAAACAGTTTATTAGAACATATATCACGACTCAAAAGAATATCTTTATTCAAAATTAGTTGGTGCTTTGCTGCATTTAAAATGTAAAGGTGTTTCCACATAGTGACTCAAGCTCACAACGATGTAATGAATGCTGTAGTCTACTCACTCGTATTTGCGGACAGCCACCATACGCATTCTCTGTAGCAATAAAATGAAGAACAAAAAACTTTTCAGC